CCGAGTCGGAGGCTCCAGCTCTCTCCGACGATGAGACCCCTGCCCCTGAACAGGCCACGGGCTCAGCTCTATTTAATCCGGCCATGTTCAGGCCCCTTCTTACTAAAGCCAGGGCTGCAGGTACCCAAATGGGTCTCCCACCCCCCGCATCCAAACCTATATCTGACCCGGTCACGGGTGTAGTCATAGGTCCCCAGGACCCCGGCGCAGGCCTTTTTAATGAGGTGTCTCTGCCCTTGGACCTCGTGCCGGCTCCCCAATTATTTTTGGACATCATCCAACGACAATGGGTTCAGCCGGGGACTCTGGCCAATCCGAGTGGGACGGTTAGGAAGCTATTTACCATGGAAGCTCCCCTGGAGGAGCTCCTCAAGATTCCCCAGGTGGACGATTCAATTATGGCCCTTACATCTCCCACTGCCCTTCCAGCGGAGCTATTTGAAGGGCTCAAGGCAGAGGACAAGAGGGTGGAATCCGCGGTTCTTAAGATGCACCAGGCCACTGCCTGGGCCATGTGCGCTTCCGCCAGCTCCTCTTATTTTGGCAGGGCAGCCCTCTTCTGGCTCCGCAAGCTACGGGCTGGTCTCCCGGCAGGCAACTCCAGGACTAGACAGGACATCACCAAGATCATTGCCGCCATGGAATACTCTGCTGACGCGTCCCTGGCAGCCACTAAATTTTCATCCAGGGCGCTGGCCTCGAATGTCACCTCGAGGTGCCTGCTGTGGCTCCGCCACTGGCAGGCCGATGTAAAAGCAAAATGGAAGGTGGCTTCCGCCCCCTTTAAAGGGGGTAAGCTGTTCGGCGAGGCCCTAGATCCATTTCTAACCGAGAACAAGGATAAGCGAAAGGTGCTCCCTCCGGTCACTAAGAAACAGGAGCGGAAGGGTCAGCCCTTTCGCAAGAATTCCTTTCGGAATAACGAGCCCTCCACCTCCACAGCCGGTCCCAGTAGCACCTACGGCACCTCGCAGGATCGCTCCCAGGATAGGCCCTCCTTTAGGGACAGAGGGAAGCAGCAGGGTTTCCGCAAATCCTTCCAGGGAGGTTATTCCAACAAGCCCTTTAGGAAGTCCAAGTGACCGTCACAGGGCTCCCCCCATAGACGGCCGGCTCCAGCTCTATGCCGCACAATGGGAGGAAACCACGATGGACAGCTGTGTCAGGAACACGGTCCGCCACGGGCTGACTCTGGAGTTCCTGTCTTTCCC